AGATAAGATAAGATAAGATAAGATAAGATAAGATAAGATAAGATAAGATAAGATAAGATAAGATAAGATAAGATAGGTGAACTTTTTTTCTTTAGGCACATCAGCCTGTTAGACAATAGAAAGAAGAACAGGCAGAGGTCAGAGGCTTCTATTTTACTGTTCTGTTCTTATCTGGAAGAAATGAAAGGGATTCAGATTCATGTTCTGTAAGTTATTGAATACCCTGCTAAGTCTGTGTGTGTGTGTGTGTGTGTGTGTTAATACTATCAGTAGTTAATGAGCAAGTGGGCTCACATCCTAGACTTAATTTTAAATTGTGTTTGTCCTAGGTAAGTAACTCTTGTCCCCCACAATGTCTCCTTTAATTAATAAGGTACCTTTAATAAGGACTGAATCTGTTGATACTTAAGAAGCATTTAAAAGTATGGAGGTAAGCTAGGTCCTGAGTCACTGTTTGCTGTCTTATTGTTTTGCACATACAGCTTTGAACACAGGGATGAGACCTGGGTTGGCGGCACAGAAGGGGAAGCTGATAGCCCTAGCTGGCTCTAAGTTGACTGCCTGCCACACTCCGTTGCACTCCTTTGGGAACCCAGCCCTGGTACATTACCTGGCCATAAGATATCAGCTCCGCCTCACTCTCCCCAAAGCCACAAACCAGAGAAAGGGCTAGGCAAGCAGTGCTGGGCATGGCTATTGGTTTTCAGCTGTGTCAAGCTGCTCTGTGGTTTCTCTCATACCTTGTGGTGCTTACTGGTTCTGCTTGTCTGTCTCTTCTGTCTGTACAGGTCAGCACTTCTCACCTTGTGCCTGCCTCCCCAGGACATTCCACAGCCGTGATCAGCATGCCCAGCTCCCAGCAACACCTCTCTTCCAACATGTAAGTAAAAAGCTCAGCTCCATCCTCCCAGCATCTGCCATAGATGCCATAGAGAGCTCATCTTTGCAGCCCTCTGTTACCCAGTGGCCATGCCCAAACCATGCCATCCAAACAGCTAACTACCCCCTGCCTCTTACACCACCGATGGTGATGAACACAGATGAGAAAAACACAGATTCAAAAGCACAGCACTGTCAGGAGATTGGGTATTGAGCTGTCTCTATTGTCTCACTTCAGGTTTAAAATATTGGGTCATAAATGAATATTGACTTACAATAGTCAGTAAAAAACACACACACAATAAAAAGATTTAACATTGGGGTAAGAAAAATGCTTGCAGAAAGACACACATGGTATATACTGACTTATATAGGCCTCTAAGATAGGTTAAACATTCTAAAATCTGTACACCTAAAGAAGATTAACAAGAAAGAGGACCTGAGGTAAGATGATCAATCCTCACTTAGAAAGACAAATGGGATGGACATTGGATGTAGGCGAAAACAAACAACAGGACAGGAGCTTACCACAAAGGGCCTCTGAAAGATTCTACCTAGCAGTGTATCAAAGCACATACTAAGATTCATAACCAAACCTTCAGCAGAGTGCAGGGGAACATAAGAAAGAAGGGGGAGTTAATATGACCTGGAGAGGACAGGAGCTCCACAAGGACTAAATATATCTGGGCACAAGGGTCTTTTATGAGACTAATTCTCCAACCAAGGACAATGTATGGATATAACCTAGAACCTCTGCTCAGATGTAGCCCATGTTAGCTCAGTAACCAATTGGTTTCCTATAGTAAGGGGAACAGGGACTATTTCTGACATGAACTCAAAGGAGCAGCCCTACTAGGCCACAGAGGAGGACTTTGCAGCCAGTCCTGAAGATACCTGATAAGCCAGGGTCAAGGTCCTCCCCTATCAGTGGACTTGGAAAGAGGCAGGGAGGAGATGAGAGAGGGAGGGTGGGATTGGAAGGGAAGGAGGGAGCGGGATACAGCTGGGATACAAAGTTAATAAACTATAACTAAAGAAAGGAAGAAAGAAAGAAAGAAAGAAAGAAAGAAAGAAAGAAAGAAAGAAAGAGAGGGAGAGAGAGAGAGAAAGAAAGAAAGAAAGAAAGAAAGAAAGAAAGAAAGAAAGAAAGAAAGAAAAAAAGAAAGAAAGAAAGAAGAAAGCTCTCAAATAAGAACCACTTTGATAAAGAGTTGAGGAGTATCTCCACAGTCTCTCAGTCTCTAGGATCCCAAAGGACTACTGGGCACCCTAGATGCCATGCAAATGTGGTTATGGTTTCATTCCAACACAAACCATAAGCTAACTTAAAATATTATCAGATCTATTTTGCTTTTTTTTTTTTTTGTAAACTCAATTACAGTCTTGGGAATAAATTTTGTAGATGACAACATCATGTCACAATGTCAAAAGCTTGGACACGCCTGGATGAGGTGACCCCAAATCCAGCATGGCAATTAAGCTCTTCCTTTAATGCCTTTCATGAGGCAGCTGTTTCTCACATCCTTGGCCTCACTGTTCCCTGTCGTCCTCACTACCGTGACTCATATCTGGATGCCACCTACCTGACTCCTGTGTGAACTTTAGACTACAGAGTCTTTCTTCTCACATTTTTGCATGATAGAAACCGATTCCCCTCCACCTACCAGTCACCCAGTGGAATCATTATGTGCAAGAATAATAATGGCAGTCACCCCTGCCTCCTGCTTCCTACTGTGCACTTCACAGTTGGCATCCAGCTGTCTCCCAGACCAGTCCTGGAAGTCACACAAACCCCTACTCTCAGTCCAAAGAGTGTTTCAGAAAGATTTCTGAACCCTGGTAACCCTGAGCCTTGCTGTCTTCAGAACCACAGCAGACAGTACTGAGAAGGCACTGAGGTGGACTGTTACACACCTCTGCCACTGATCCTGACCTCCAGGTCTTTTTCTCTGCTACGGGTCAGTACCCATTGCCACAGTGCCCACGTTGGCCTATCCGTGATTTCCATCTGTGTGGTGCCCTAGAGCATGGCGAGACGAAGGTAGAGTGCTGTTTCCACCGCTGGCATTTCAGCCACGTTGCTCCACTTTTGTCTGCCTTCCATGTCTAAGGTTCCATTTTTAGTGATTTTTGTTGCTAGGTGCTGGCAGGTGAGCTATAGGGACTGGCTCCCCAGAACTTCATAGATTGTGCCCTTCACCAGCATGTTCTGCGGCCCTTACTAGCTCCCTGTGTTTCCAGGTTTGTAGCCCTGCACTCTTACTCAGCCCACGGACCTGATGAGCTGGACCTGCAGAAGGGAGAAGGCATCAGGGTTCTGGGAAAGTACCAAGATGGCTGGTTGAAGGGTCTCTCCTTAGTCACAGGGCGAACTGGCCTCTTTCCAAGCAACTATGTCATCCCTGTTTTCAGGTATGTCTCCAGGGCCCTTCTGTGCGTTGAACTGATAGTGGATGCTATGCCTTTTCAGAGCATACACCAAGAAATAACTTTTGCCTTCATATCTCATTAGCTTACACACAAAATATTTATAACTTTTTTTCCCCAGAGGTCCTGTGTATTTACAGGCTTGCCTGGAACCTAGGCAACTTGGCCTCAAACTCCCCCTGCCTCAGACTCCCAGGTGCTAGGACCACAAGTGTGACCCAGTGTCCAGCTTTGCCTCATTAAATTCCCTGGCCATGCCAAAGGGCCTGGCATGTGTTATTCTTCAGATGGAAGCACTGATACACAGTGACATGACTTGCCTAAGACTGTGTCTGAGGCTTCCTGCTGCCGAGTCCCAGATTTCCCACATCACATCTGACACGAAAACAACACCATCGAGAGAACTAATTGGAAAATGTGACCAGATGGCTCCCCAGGGCATCTTAGAATGGTTCTCAGGACGCTCGATCGTGAGGCAGAATTTCCATAGGTTCAGACCGATACTTGCCTAGCCATGCCCCAGATCAAAGACCAGTCACACTCAAGGAGCCCTTCCCCCCTAGCTTTCCCAGCGACACACCTAATCAATGCCCCTGACCGTCAGCCTGCCCTGCCTCTTCACACTGTGCCCATAAATTCACACGCCCAGGCCTCAAATCTATTGTCATCTTTCCTACCTCTGCGTCCACCTGCCCAGATATGAGGCAGTGAGGCCCTTGTCACACATCAAACCCTGTCTTTGTGACATGCAGAGGGTCACAAACTCCAGGAAAGTGACAGAGTCTGAGCATAAACTCTGAAGCAACTCTGGAGACCTTCATTTAGGTGAGGCGCTATGTCCGGAGGAGGGTAACAACAATGGTGGGAACAGAACAAACTGCAGCCTCGAAGAAACTGATGAAGTACGGTGGTTTAACCTGTGAAGAACAAAGGACAAAGGGCTCATGAGTAACTGTGTGTGCTAGGAGCTAGATTGGGGCTATGAGGGCAGCAGAGGAGAGCAGGGGCTAATCTTCAGACAGTCTGGGTTCAGGAAAAGGCTACCTTTTCTAATACATAGATTTTTTCCATGGCTGCTGGCAAGGTAGAAGGATCCCTGTTTAGGAAGGGTACAGGCAAAAAATGAGGTCTTCAAGAACCTCAAGAAAAGTTGTGTGTTTTTTTTTTTAATATGACAGAAGTTGGAATGAGACATCTTAACTATTCCTTTCACTGTAAGGTACTTAGAATTTGTTGGAAGAATGGCAAACTAAAAGTGTGTGTGTAACTGACGCTTTCACCTCTTCAAACATTTATTGAATTTTTTTAGATTGTATATATATATATATATATATATACATACATATATATATATATATGTATACATAAGAATTTTGCCTACATGTACATATGTGCACCATGTACAGGTCTGGTGCCCGCAGAGATCAGAAGAGGGCATTGACTCTCCTAGAGGCAGAGTTACAGATGGTTGTGCTACATGTATGGGTGCTAGGGACCAAACTCAAGGCCTCTGCAAGAGCAACAGGTGCTTTTAAGCACTGAGCCATCTCTCCAGCCCCTTAATGTTAACTGTATGTCAGCTACCATACCTCTCCTGCACCTGGGGAAATATTAGTAAACAAAACACACACATGCACACACACAAACACATATGCTGCACCTACTTGCGTCTGTGTGTAAGGCTTTGGCCTCACTGAGAAGAAAGGAGAATGAGGGAAATGCAGAAGTAAGCCAAGCTGATCTTGGAGAGAAGTACATTCTGGGCCACAGGAACAGCAAGTTCAGAGGCCCTGGGGTAAGAATGTACCTGACATAAAAACCCACTAGACTGAATTAGAGCAGATGAGGGGAAGAGCAGTAGAAGATGAGGTCAGAATGGTAAACGGGGCCAATTCATCTAGAATTCTTAGGTCATAATGAAGGATTTGTTTTTAACTCCATAGCAGAGTCTTTTGAGCAGAAAAGTAATACAATCTAACCTATGTATAACCATGTCTCTGATTGCTGGGTTGAGAATAAGCTATAGAGAAGAAACGGTAGTGATAGAAAATCTACCTAAGAGAATACCGTAACAGTCCTATGAAGAGGCTAAATTATCATGTTGTCAGCATAGGAGGTAGTAATTTGAAGATGTAGATTCCACAAATACCTTAAAGCTAGAGGTACCAGGGTTTTTCTGACATTAACTATTAGGTGTGAAGGGATAGAAGATTGAAGGTGAGTGCGAGTTTTTTTTTCCTCTGGTTAACCAAAAGAGAGTGGGATGGCAATGGTGAAAACACTAACAGATGGGTTTGAGCTGTGGGCAAGCAAACACTTACTTCCCAGAAGATTAAGTGTGAAGTGCCTATGAACACAAGCGAAGTAACACCAGCAAAGATGCTGGTGAGCCACTGGGTAGACAAGTTGAGCATTGAAGAGTCCTGGTCTTGAGATGCTATTTAAAGCCATGAGATTAGATGAGATATCCGTGGTATGACTGTCACTGCCTTTGCTTATATACGAGGCTTAGCCCAGAGTTCAGGATGAATTATCAAAGTGTTAGTATGAATGAAAGTGATTGCATGCTTAACATTATAGATGAATGTTTTTGAGGAAGTATAAACTGAGGAAAGCCCTCAGTTTCCTGGGACAGTCAGGGTGTGTGGTCCCTTTGTGCATGTGGGGTTCCAGCTTCCCAATGTTCCTGCTTCCATTCTCCCTCCCTTGGTTTTCTCTTAAGTAGACACCAACACCCTCAGGCAGGTCATGCATATCTGTGCTCACCCCTCTGAAATGGCTGCGTTCCGGACAGGTGTGGGGCTCCAGTAGCACAAGCTGATAGTGACCTGCTCCCCAGCTCCAAGTCCACAGAAATCTGAACATTAGCAGATAATGAGGTGCTAACACAGAGGTGTAGTTTTCTCATGGGGAAGTGGCATTCCCAAGGAGCAAGCCCCTCTGTTCCTTGATGCCATTGGATTAGAGAAGATCCAAGTGTTGTTCCCTTGATATTTTTCATACAAAGAAAGCGCCTATCTCCACTAACCATAGAGGTGAATATACGTGCTGAATTGTGCAGCCGGGTACAGCTCACCCTGTTCCTACCCACCCTTTCACTGTTTCCTTGTTAAGTTTCATCCTCCCCTTCTCACAACTGAAAAACACTGACCTTTGTCAGCTTTGTTTCTGCTACTATCACCAAGTGAGGACCTACTGAGCCAGACAATATATGCAAGGCTCCTTCCTGTTCTTTGACAACTCCCTTGTCTGTTCTCTGTTTACAGTGATGGCTCTGTAGTGCCATTAGCTCCTCTGGTATAGAATGCCAACAGCCAGGACTCAGAAATGTGAGATGCCCCCTGGGTTCTGAAGCATTTGCTTTTACAGCATCATGACCTGCAAACGGAGGCAGAGTTTAGGGATAACCTATAGATAAAAGTTGACCAGAGCTGGGCGTTGTGGCACATGTCTAAGATCCCAGCACTCCGGGAGGCTAAGATAAGAAGATTGGCATGACTTTGAGACAAAGCTGAGCTAGATAGTTGATATCAAGCCATCCAGGGATATGTAGCAAGTCTGAAAAAAAAAATTGACCAAAATGTCAAGATTTCTATTTAAGATTCAATAAGTGGGACTTTTTAACTACTCACAGTGAAGAAAAACACACTCCAGCTACCAATATGTCTAACTCCTATTAACCACAGCTAAACCTCTGCTTCTGTAAAGTCTCTTCTCTGAGACTCTGAAGACGTATGCAGGCTCAGGTTTACAGAGCAGTTGTCAAGCATCCATCTGTCCAGCATCCAAACTCCTTCACAGCACCAATGCCCACTTCGGTCTTTTTCCTGTGCACTCTCAGTAGATGTTGGGTCTCAACTTTCTCCTCATCCCATCCACAACTAATTTTATTTTCTTGTGGGTTGGTGGTGCATGAGATAAGGTCACAGGTAGCACAGACTGACCTTGAACTTGCTGTATAGATGAAGGTGATCTTGAGTTCCTTATTGTGGTGGTTAGAATGAAAATGGCCTCCATAGGCTCATAGGCTTCTTGGAAGAAGTATGTCACCGGTGTGGGCTTTGAGGTCTCAGATGCTCAAGCCAGGCCCAGTGTTTCTCTCTTCCAGCTGCCTGTATATCCAGCTGTTCTCTCAGCTTCTTCTCCAGCTGTCTGCATGCTACCATGCTCTCCATCATGATGGTAATAGACTAAACCACCGAACTGTAAGCCAGACTCAACTAAATGTTTTCCTTTATAGTAGTTGCTATGGTCATGGCGTCTCTTCACAGCAACAGAAACCCTAACTAAGACACTTAGCCTCCTACTTCTGTCTCCCAAGTGCTGGGATTGCTGGTGTGTGCCACCATGCCAGGTTAGCTTGGTCAATCTTGCAGTCTTACTTGGGACTTTGAACTGGAGCTGGGGAGGAAAGGATACAGAAAAACTGAAGATCATTATGGTGAGAGCAACAATAACACCTTATCTATACTCTTTCCTCAGATCCCCAACTGAACCTTCAGGTACCCACTCACATCCTGTTCCCAGGCACTTCACACCTGGCTCCTGTCCTCCCAATAAAACCACTTCTATGCAGTTATGCAGGATGGTTCTTTATTGTAGCCTCCACAGACAAATATGCCTGTCTTGTGCCCTATGGGCAGAGGAAAGTGACAAGGGGCCATCACTGCCTTTTCATTCTCCACACAGATACTACAAAAATGGTAAAGATTCAACCTTTCTCTTTCACAGGAGGCTGTTTATGTGGCAAGCACAGCAGAGCTGCTGTGTGGAATGCCCTCTTTAGAAATAAGATAAGCTCTAATAGCACAGACAGGAAAAGGACACAGGGACCTGTTAATGCAGCAAACCAGAATATCCACTCCTCCTACTTAAGCCTAGAATGTCTTTCAGTCTCCTCTGGAAAACAAGGATCATAATGTCTTCAGGTTTGGGGTTTCCTGGGGATTAATTAATATGTGTTAGCAAAGTGCTTTGATGTTGGAAGAAAATGCTAGGTAAGTGTTAAGTGTTTTTGCCAAAAGACATAGGAGTAGTCAGCACTGGATGGGAAAAAATCACAATTTAGAAGTTCCTGGAATCAAGCCCAGTGCTGAGTTTATACCTGGTGCCTTAAAGAGTCATTCTGAGAAAAGACTGACGGAATAAGACTGACTCAAGCTTAATTAGCTGTACTCTGTCCTTGCTTCTGTTGCTCCTGCTGGAAACAAGTTGGGGGCTAGTTTTGCCTATTGCTGATATGCTTTGCAGGAAGCAGCTCTAAGGCCTCTTGTTCAAAAGACACTCTGCTGGGGAAGCCAGTTTCCAGAGATCTTCAGTTCCCAGGCCTCATTTCTAGCATACAGTCTTGTTTTCTCACTGATAGGCTGTTTTCTCATTGATATTCCATTCTTCATTGACCATGCCACGGGGACCAGAGCAGGTTGACAGGTCTGGGTCGAAGGGCTCTTGCACCAAGCATCAGTTCCTAGACTATGTGCTGCTTGGACAAGTAACCATGAGGCTCTCTTTGTCTGTATATATGTGTGTGTGTGTGTGTGTGTGTGTGTGTGTGTGTGTGTGTGTGTGTGTTTCTCTGTCCCTCTCCCTTTCTCTCTCTTTGTGTATAGGTATGTGCAAGTGGGTGTGAAGGCCAGAGGTCAACTTCAAGTGTCATCCCTTTGGGTAACATTGGCCACAGTTAATCAATAGCTTGCCTACCTTCATACAGCACTGGCTCATTCTTATCATACACATTGTATTTCCTTTTTTGTTCACTGTGCTTTACCATTTATTTGCAAAATATCTTATTACATTTTATTTATTTATTTATTTATTTATTTATTTATTTATTTATTCTTTATTATAATTTATTCCTTTTGTATCCCGGCTGTAGCCCTCTCCCTTATCTCCTCCTGATCCCACCCTTCCTCCCTTTCCCCCACCATGTCCCTCCCCTAGTCCACTGACAGAGGAGGTTCTCCTCCCCTACTATCTGACCCTAGCTTATCAGGTCTCATCAGGACTGCCTGCATCCTAGTGGCCTAGTTAGGCCACCTCACTGTGGAGAGGTGATCACAGAGCCGGCCACTTGAGTCCATGTCAGAGACTGCCCCTGCTACCCTTACCAAGGAACCCACATGGAGGCTGAGCTGTTAATGGGCTACATCTGAGAAAGGGAGTCTAGGTCCTCTTCATGCATGATCCTTGGTTGATTCATCAGTCTCTGCAAGACCCCCTGAGCCCAGATTTTTTGGTTCTTTTGGTTTTCTAAAACAGCCCTGAGATTCCACCTTATACCCATCAGAATGGCTAAGCTCAGAAATTCAAGGGATGACATATGCTGGAGAGGTTGTGGAAAAAGGGGAACCCTCCTCCATTGCTGTTGGGAATATAAATTTGTACAACCACTTTGGAAATCGATCTGATGCTTTCTCAGAAAGTTAGGACTAGTGCTACCTCAAGATCCAGCTATACCGTTCCTGGGTATATATCTGAAAGATGCTCAACCACAGAACAAGGACATTTGCTCAACTATGTTCATAGCAACTTTATTCATAATATCCAGATCTGGAAAAAATCTAGATGTCCCTCAACTAAAGAATTAGTGCAGAAATTGTGCTACATTTACACAATCGAATACTACTCAGCAATTAAAAACAGGAAAATCATGAAATTCACAGGCAAATAGTGGGAACTAGAAAAGATCACCCTGAGTAAGGTAACCCAGAAGCAGAAAGACACATGGCATATACTCAGAAGGGGATATTAGCCATATAATATAAAATAGACATACTAAAATGTACAGACCTAAAGAAGTGAAAAGGAGAACCCTAGGGAGGATGCTTAATTCTCATTCAGAAGGGAAAACAGGATAAACACTGGAAGTGGTAGAAAAGAGGGAACAGTGCAGAAGCCTTCCAAAGGGGCTCTATGAAAGACTCTACCCATCAGGATGTCAAAGCAGATGCTGAGACTCATACACATTGTATTTCTAATAAGCAGAATAGAGGGAAAGAGAAAGAATGAAGAGAAATAACCTGAAGAAAACCATGGAAGACACTGTGTGAGTTGGACACAAAGGGCTTTCTACACCAAGGTCCTAGTGGAAGTCATTACTTCTGTGGAATTATCAGAGGCTATTTCATCAACATGATGATGGGGTGATTGGTGGGCATAGGAGACAGGAGGCCAGGTTTGAATCAATGTGAGGGAGAGGAAGACATGTCAAGTACCAGCTACTGCCAATGCACCTCACAGAGGTTGCAGTCTGGAAACAGTGGCCGTGAGCTTGTTGTTTATAAAACTTTAATGCTGACATCACAGCCCAAGGCTGAAGCATTAGCATCTTACAATGTCGCTTCAAGGCTACTGTCCACCTTAGCGGCTTTCGCTTAGTGCTTGGCTGTTTTGTTTTGTGTTTTGTTTTTTGTTTTCTGTGCATCTCTAACTAGCCCTGGAGAGGGTATAGTTCAGAAGTAGGGCAGGCAGAGAGTTAGCTTCAACCTGGCTTCAAACCTCTAGTCCGATAGCTGCTTGGACAAATAACCATGAGTCTGTCTGTCTATTTGTCTCTCCCTCCTCTCTTTATCTCTGTATTTCTCTCTCTCTCTCTCTCTCTCTCTCTCTCTCTCGTGTGTGTGTGTGTGTGTGTGTGTGTGTGTGTGTGTGTGTGTGTGTG